TACTTGAAAATCTTCAAAGATTTGGGCAAGGATTGTAGTGACTTGGTGAGAATTAGTTTCTTCCTCTAGAACTCCTTCTCTCACTCTAAATGCAGTAGAAAATAGCATAAAAGGGTCTAATGGGGTGTTATTAATGAGATGGGGTCGGTTTTAAAAGTTAGAAAATAGGAGCCCCGACTCAATCTGCGGTCGTATATGCGAGCGCATAACTGATATGCGGCCCGCAAAAGGATCCGCAAAATGGCCCTCAAAACTTAAACATTCTGCCCGGGTATGCGACAAAAATGCGGTCCGCATACTTGTTCTGTGATAATAGGCGAAATCTAGGTGATTTAGCTATTGTTTATGCTTCCGCTTAATTACATTTCAATGACATAATATGGTTATCTGATGAAAAATAGGCTCTAATTGTGATTTGTGTACATTGCAGGGTGAGGAGCTTATATGATGCTTTCAAGAGGTTATTGGAATGATTTATGAGCAAAAACGATCCCTCGGAGTTGAGTGCGTGCAAGAATAAGACGAAAAATTGGAAGAAATCAAGCCCCAGGCGCGCGAAGGTCGCGCGAAGTCGCACAGAGTTCGCGCGTGTTACAAGCTGAGACAGAAAGGGCGCGCAAAAACCGCGCGAGGTCGCGCGAGTCACCCGGGAAAAGTGTCCTTTTTCACATTGGAGAAGGTATAATTGTTTGGGCCCAACCCTACTTGGTATATATACATGAGAGAACGTTTTTGAGAGGAATTTTGGACCAAGGAAGAGCACAGAGCCGCCGTGGAGGCCGGATTTCATCTTTTCTTCCATCAACTTAGTCTTTTTATGTTTCTTTGTATGATTTGTTGTTTTGCTACCATGTCTATGTGGAGCTAAACTTCACGTTCTAGGGTTGTGGTTCTTTCATGAATATTGTTATTCGGATATTGATTTTGATTTCTTAGTTTATCATATTGATTTATTTATTCAATCCTGCACTTAATTATTTGATTGCTTGATCACCAATTGAATACTATCTACGAATCTAGAGTTGAACTCGAAAGTGGGAATTCTAGATTGCATCAAGTTCTTGAACCTGGGCCTCGGGGAACGGATTAGCAATTGGGATAGACATATACCCAATTGCCTTGCTTGGTTGATTTACAGAAATTATAAATGCGTTCTTGTTGATTCTAATTCCATAGACATATAGGCGTTAGGTTAGCTTGAATAGGCGAGTAAGGACTCGACAAATTATTATGAGCAATATTAACCCTGTCAACCAATAAACTAGATAAATTAGTTAGTTAATTCAATTGAAGAATACAATAGGAATGTTAGATAGCCCATAACCCTAGATCGTTTTCATTACATTGATATCATAAAAATCTGCTCTTTCTCTGTTAAAAGTTCATTATTTATATTTCTTTATTTAATTAGTATAAAATCAAATACTTATAGGTTTAATTCGTGTGTAGATAATTAGGATAGTCTAATTTAGTTAATTGTTAATCACAAGTCCTCGTGGGATCGACATCCGACTTTTAGTCACTTTATTACTTGACGACCGCGTGCGCTTGCGTGTGCGTTTGGCCGCAACATTTTGCGGTCGCATAATGCACCGTAGATTTGCCCCTCACAAAATTCCAAGGAGATTATATGATGACTATGCGACCCGCATATTGATTATGCGATCGCATAATTGGCCGCATAGTTGACCTCAAAACTAGCAAACATCCTGCCTCAGTCTGCGGCAACTATGCGGTCCGCATAGCTATTATGCGATCGCATAATGAACCGTAGAAATGCGCTTTTCTGAAAAAAATTATTCCTTAACTTTTTAATGCACAGATCAATCCCAAAAGGTCCGAACCGCGGCTTCTAACACATATTCCTAACTTGGCACTACGAGATTTCGGGTTTTGAGTAAGAATTTCACGGGACCTTACAGCCTTGTTGTCGGCACTATCATCGCACTCTTTTGTATCAATTAGAAGCTCCGTAGACATAGTATGGGTGGTATGTTGGTGTTGGGGAAGTCGAACTAGTAACGTTGTAATTATATCACACGTTCCACATTGAACTATGAGTGTATGTATTTTGAAACATATAAATGATGTAACTGCTGATAATGAATTGGTATTGTTGTTCACATGATCCTCCTCACTGCCTAATTAATGAAATATATTGTCTCTTTATTCATGAGTGAGTTCGAGTAGAAGGTATTATACAGGCTTGCTCGGCCGGGTTATCTCGATTGAGCGCTGGTCGCGCTCCCCGAGTTTGGGGCCTGACATAGACATATGGCGAGTAGGCCATGGAACGTTATTCTAAACAGGGTATTATCTTCGGGCAGGCTAATCCTGGCCGCCTTCCGGCGCAGAGCCCTCGATTCTTTAGGATTTGAGGGCAGCTTCACTGTCTTTAAGTAATTTATATACTTGTTTCTCCAGTCCTAGGTTAAGCTTGTCAAGTTTATCTCGGTGTGGCCTTCTTCCACTATTAATTTCATGAGCTGTACGACCGTTCCTGAGATTAATTCTTTGTCATCAACCGATGACCCCAAGTTAGCCAGAGTTGCTTCGCTATTTTGATCCCGGTGCACGTGTTGTAGGGTCCATTCCTTGAATCAATGTAGCATTACCTGTAGTTTATCCAAGTATCTTCGCATTCGTTCCTCCTTCACCTTGAATGTCCCATTGACTTGATTCACCAAAAGGAGGGAACCGCATTTAGCTTCGATCACTTCGGCCCCCAGGATTTTAGCAAATTCGAGACCTGCAATCATGGCCTCATGCTTGGCCTGATGGTTAGTCAATTTCACAGTTCTAATATATTGCCTAACTACGTTACCCGAGGGTAGCTTCAACACGATGCCGAGTCCGGACCCCATTGCGTTCGAGGCACCGTCTGTAAAGAGGGTCCAAATCCCCCAAGGAGGTCCTCGAGGTTAACAACAATTCTTTTTCGACGTCGTGTATTAAGGCTAGCGTGATGTCGGCCACGAAGTCTGGCAAAATTTGAGATTTGATGGTGGTTTGGGGTCAATATTCAATTTCGTACCCGCTAATTTCCACGGCCCATTTGGTCAATCGTCTCGAGAGCTCAGGTTTGTGCATTATGTTCCTTAATGGGTAAGTAGTAACGACACATATGGGATGGCACTGAAAACATGGCCTTAACTTCCTGGAGGCGCTTAGAAAAGCGAGCGCCAATTTCTCCAAGTGAGGATACCTTTTTTTCGGCCTCGCCTAGAGTCCTGCTAACATAATATATAGGAAATTGCATACCTTCTTCCTCCCGGACTAAGACTCTGCTTACTGCTATCTCGGATACCGCCAAGTACAGGTACAACTGCTCGTCTGCCTTCGTAGTATGAATCAAAGGTGGACTCGAAAGGTACCATTTTAGTTATTCCAAAGCTTGCTGGCACTCCGACATCCGCGAGAAGTTATTATTCTTCTTCAATAACGAGAAGAACCGATGTCTCTTACTGAAGGACCTTGAAATGAACCGACCCAGGGCGGCTATGCGCCCGGTTAGCCTTTGAATGACCTTGACATTGTCCACCATGGTGATATCTTCTATGGCCTTGATCTTGTTTGGATTGATCTCAATTCCCCGGTTGGACACCATGAATCCAAGGAACTTCCCGGACACGACTCTGAATGCGCATTTCTCCGGCTTCATCTTCATATTGTATTTCTTCAGTATGTTGAAGGTTTCCTACAAATGTTACAAATGGTCCTCTACTCGCAGGGACGTAACTAACATGTCATCAATGTAAACCTCCATTGATTTTCCTATTTGCTCTTCGAACATCCGATTTACTAGGCATTGATAAGTGGCACCGACATTTTTAGTCCGAATGGCATTACGTTATAACAATAGGTGCAATATTTAGTAATGAAGGAAGTCTTTTCTTGGTCGCTCGGGTCTATCCGAATCTTGTTATACCTGGAATAGGCGTCGAGAAAGCCAAGTATCTCGTGGCCGGCCGTAGCATCGATCATGCGATCGATGTTAGGCAAAGGACAAGAGTCCTTAGGGCATGCCTTGTTCAATTCTTACACACATTCTTAATTTATTTCCCTTTTTAGGCACTACCACTACGTTTGCTAACCAATTCGGTACTTGATTTCTCGAATGGAACCTATTTTAAGGAGTTTGGATACCTCGTCTTTGATGAATGCATGTTTGACTTCAGCCTGAAGTCTTCTCTTCTATTTAACCGGGTGAAAACTTCAGATTCAAGCTCAGCTTGTGAGTAGTTATTTTCGGCGGGATCCCTATCATGTAAAGATGGGACCAAGCGGAACAATCTATGTTATCTATAAGGAATTCAATGAGTTTTTTTTTGAGCTCGGGAGTTAGCCCCGTGCCCAAGTATATCTTCCAATTGGGCAGGTGCTCGATCAATCTGACTTGCTCCAGCTCCTCAACTATTGACTTGGTGGCATCAGAATCGTCAGGGGCTATGAAGGACCTACGGACTCTGTAATCATCATCCTCGCCTGTCTCCTGCTTTTTTTGGTTCGGTCAGGGCCGGGGCCGGTGATTGCTATTTGGATTCTTTCTAGGTGACTGAACTTGTCACGCCCCAACCTCGGGAAGCGCGACCGGCGCTCAACAAGGATAACCCGGCAGAGCAAGCCTGCTAGATTTCCTTCTACCTAGATTACATATAAATAAAGAATGGATCGATTTCATTAATTAGATAATGAGATAGTCATGTGAACCACTCAAGTTCGGTACCAATAGTTGCATCATTTATAAGTCCCCAAAACAATACGTTTCACAACCATAGTTTAATAGAAGAAGCATGCGATACAATTACGACATCTTTAGTTTATCCTTCCCACGCCAATACAAAACCCACACTATGTCTACGAAGCCTCTAATAGATACAAAAGAGTACAATGATCTCTGTTTATATCTTAAAACATAATAATACACACGAGAAAAAAGATGCACGACCCCAGAATGAAACGGGGGTCACCAAAGCAGCTAGGAAGAATGATTACCACTATCACTGGTCAATACCTTCCGTTGTCGAACCACCTGCATCCATTAAAGATGCAGCACCCCTGGCAAAAGAGACGTTAGTACATGTCGACTAGTACTAGTATGAAAGCCAAACACCTAATCAAGGACTTGGAAATACAACATGAATATGATGAATCAGGGTGACAATAGCATAGCATAGATAGTTGTTAAAGACAAAGCAAATTTATCAAGTGCTTTCGATAACATTTATAACTCGAGATCCTCTGCAACCACCTTTACACAAAGCGGCCTTACCGCCTCACCCCAATGTATGCAGGTGGAGGTGCAATCACAATACCAAAAACTCTACTCAAACGGCCATGCCGCCTCACCCCAATGTATGCGGGTGGAAATGTAACCACAGTACCAAAAACCTACACAAAGCGGCCCTGCCATCTCACCCCAATATATGCAGGTGGAGGTGTAACCACAATACCAAAAACCTACACAAAGCGGCCTCAACCCAATATATGCAGGTGGAGGGGTAACAACAATACCAAAAACCTACACAAAGCGGCCCTGTCCCTCAATATATGCAGGTGGAGGTGTAATCGCAATCACAATATCTACACAATTTGGCATAATAACTTTCATTCGAAACACGACTTGGACTCATAACATGTAGATATGCAATACATACTTTGAACACATCCTCCATTAGTAGCACAACATGATAAGGGCGTTTGAAACATGTATTGAGCATATATCTTTGTCACAAAGCTTATTCGAAATAATCGATTTATGATGAACAACTTGAAACTTACAAGGGTTGTGGGGTTCAATTCTTAGAGAAGAAGTGTTTAGCAACATACCTCACTTCAGCTTCCTTAATCTCTAAAATGTTCCGAAAATCTTAGAAACGTCGATCTATTTTAAAAATATAACAAATTGAACCAAAATTAAGAAGATGATCATGGTTCCAGCTTATTTGAACATTTTATCAAACACTAGGTGCACATTAGTGTTTCAAGGTCCTCCTATGGTGGATTCCATCATTCCACAACCTATTATCTACCATTTTTGGCTCAAAAATCTTCCTACACCCTTTGATAACACATGCATGCAAGAAGAACAACTCCCACACCCCAAGAACTGCCTTATTAATTACCTATTTTTAGTTAAATTTCGAAATTGAGGGTTAGGATATAGAATCTTACCTCTAGGATGAAGACCTAGTGAGTTTACCTTGTTAATCTTCCAATATTTGAGTAAGACTTAAGGAACAATTGGTTGAACTCTCAGCCACTCTAGAGCACTCTCTCACTCTCAAAGTATCAGGTTTTTGCTTAAGAAATGATCTGTAGCGTCTATACAATGAAATGGGGTCGGGTTATAAAAACCAAAAAAATGAAGCTCCAAAACAGAATATGCGACCGCATAACGCATCTGCGGTCCACAAAATGGGCCGCTAAATGGTCCTCCGGAACTGGGCACCGCTGTCTGGGTATGCGGTCGTTATGCGCCTACAGACTTGTTCTGCGGTCGCACAATGCGCCGCAGACCTGTTCTGCAGTCGCATAATCGACCGCGAAATGGCATCCAAATTTGCCCAATTTCTACCTCACTCTCCGGCCATTTTGCCGCCCACAGAGTGATTCTGCGGCCGCATAGTGGACCGCAGAAATGCCTTTTTCTACCAAAAATTTTCCTTTACTCCCCAGTGCACTGTTCAACCCTAAAAGTCCATACCGCAACTCGCAAGCTCGCCCCGTAGAATCTCTACAATCATGAACACGTAAGTCATCCTCGGCACCACGAAATCCTGGGTTTTTGAGTAAAAATTTTTTTACGGGGCCTTACATCCTTCCCCACTTAAGATTATTCGTCCTCGAATGAGGGTCAAAATTCACCATTAGCATACCAACAGCGCCAAATTTTGACTAACTCCCTAAATTTCCAAACATTTTGGTAGAGTTTCCCCTATAACTGGGTCTATCCACCTGCCAGAGAACCCGAGAAACAAATCCTAACAACATATACATAATCCAATGACATAAGCAACTTATAACCAGGAAGGAACACCCTTTAACATCAACTATACAAGTGATACATAATTCATAAGCAACAATTTCATAAATACAATTACATAGCTATTCAAACAAATGAGGGTACTTCTTCTTCATTTCTTCCTCGGCCTCCCAACTAGCCTTTTCAACCTATTGGTTTCGCCATAGCACTTTCACGGAGGCAATCTCTTTATTTCTTAGCTTTAGGACTTCCCTATCAAGAATGGCCACTGGAATTTCTTCATAGGTCAGTTCTTCATTAACCTCAATAGTCTCAACTGGCACAATAAGCGACGGATCTCCCACTACCTTCTTCAACATAGACACATTGAATACCGGGTGCATTAATGACATTTCAGGTGGTAGCTGAAGATTGTATGCCACCTGACCAATTCTCTAAACGATTCTGTATGGCCCGACATACCTCGCGCTCAAATTCCCTTTCTTACCAAACTGCATTACACCCTTCACGGGGGAAACCTTCAAGAATACCCAATCGTCTTCTTTGAACTCCAAATCTCTGCAACGAACATACGAATAGGACTTTTGGCGGCTCTGAGCAGTTTTCAACCAATCCTTAATGACCTTAACCTTCTCTATAGCCTGATGCACGAGGTCTGGTCCTATCAATTCCGCTTCCCCAATATCGAACCAGTCAATGGAAGATCTACATCTCATACTATATAAATCCTCAAATGGTGCCATCTGAATTCTTACATGATAACTGTTGTTGTAGGCAAATTCTATGAGTGGCAAATGATCATCCCAGCTACCCTTGAAATCAAGAACACAAGCGTACAACACATCCTCAAGCATCTGAATAGTCCGCTCTGCCTGCCCATCGATTTGTAGATGAAAGTCTGTACTAAGATTCACCTGAGTACCCAAACCTTGCTGAAATATCTTCCAAAAATTAGTCGTGAATTGTGCCCCTCGGTCCGAAATGATAGAAACTAGAGTGCCATGCAACCTGACTATTTCCTTGATATACAACTGAGCATATTGTTCCGCTGTGTCGGTAGATTTAACTGGCAAGAAATGTGCTGACTTCGTGAGTCGATCCACAATTACACAGATGGAGTCAAACTTGCGCGAAGTGCGCTGTAGTCCTACCACAAAGTCCATATTAATCATTTCCCACTTCCACATTAGAATTTCTATGTTCTGTGCCAACCTACCGGGCCGTTGGTGTTCGAACTTTACTTGCTGACAATTCGGACATCCTTCCACAAAGTCCGCCACATTCCTCTTCATGTTATTCCACTAGTAGACTTCATTGAGATCATGATACATTTGGAACACATAGTCGCCCTTGGTACCTTAGTGTACCATCTTCCATGCCAAGAGAAAAAGCCATAGTCTTATATTTATGAATCCCCTCCTTCAATTGTACCAACAATAGATTGTTGAATTACCTCTCTTTGACCTCCACCATGAGCGATGATTCAGCCCTATTTTGCACAATCACCTCTCCTTCACTAGAGTCCGCGAGATGAACTCCCAAACTAGCCAACCGATGAACCTCCTTGGCCAACGGCCTTTGATATGCCTCCAAGTGAGCCAAACTACCCATAGATTTCCGGCTAAGAGCGTCCGCTACAACATTGGCCTTTCCCGGGTGATATATGATATCCATGTCGTAATCTTTGAGTAACTCAAGACATCTTCTCTGCCTCAAATTCAGTTCCTTCTATTTGAAAATATATTTAAGGCTCTTGTGGTCCTTGAATATATCCACATGGACCCCATACAAATAATGACGCCAAATCTTTAATGCAAATACCACTACTGCAAGTTCTAAGTCATGTGTTGAATAGTTATTTTCATTATTCCTGAGTTGCCTAGAAGCATAAGCTATCACCTTGGCATGTTGCATCAATACATACCCAAGCTCGATCCTTGAAGCATCACAATACACCACAAACCCAATTGTACCCTCTGGTAGGGTCAACACCGGCGTCATAGTCAATCTTGATTTCAGCTCCTGGAAGCTCTTTTCACAAGCATCAGACCATTGAAACTTACTCACCTTCTGCATCAATTTAGTCAACGGAAAAGCAAGGGTAGAGAACCCCTTCACAAACTTTCTGTAATACCCCGTTAAGCCTAGGTAACTGCGAATCTCTGTTGGAGTTGTGGGCCTAGGCCAAATCTTCTGAGTGTCAACCTTAATTCCTTCGCAGAAGACAACATGACCCAAGAATATGACAGATTCAAGAAAAAATTCGCACGTCCAAAACTTCGCATACAACTTGTGCTGATATAGAGTCTGCAGAACTGCCCTAAGATGATTGGCATGGTCCTCTCGTTCGTGAATATACGAGTATATCGTCAATGAACACTATCACAAAGGAGTCGAGGAAAGTCTTGAAGACTCGGTTCTTAAAATCCATGAAAGCTGCCGGGGCATTTGTTAGCCCAAAAGACATCACCAGAAATTCAAAGTGCCCATACCGGGTTCTAAAAGCTATTTTCGGAATATCCTGCTACCTGATCTTCAATTGGTGATACCCGGATCTTAAATCAATTTTGGAGAAGTACTCGACACCTTGCAATTGATCAAACACGTCATCTATCTTTGGCAGTGGGTACTTATTTTTTGTTTGTGACATTGTTGAGTTGCCGATAGTCAATACACATCCTAAGTGACCCATCTTTCTTTAAAGAGAACCAGTGCGCCCAAAGGCAACACACTCGGTCGGATGAAACCTTTGTCTAACACGTCCTTCAGTTGTTCCTTTAGCTCCTTCAATTCTTTCAGTGCCATTCTGTAAGGAGGGATAGATATAGGCTGCATGCCTGACATCACATCAATCCCAAAATCAATCTCCCTGTCCGGTGGGATCCCATGGAGCTCATCTGGAAAGACATCTGAAAATTCATTCACAACTGGCACAGACTCAAGTGTAGGTGCCTCAACATCGGTGTCCGTAGCCCGGAGCAAATGGTAGATACACCCCTTGTTAATCATCTTCGTGGCCTTAAAATAGGAAATAAACCTACCCTTCGTCACCACATTATCCCCCTTCCATTCAATCACTGACTCACTTGGAAATTCGAACCTCACAGTTCTAGTTCGCAATCAAGCTTGGCAAAACATGAATAAAGCCAGTCCATCTCCGTTATCACATCAAAATCAACCATTCCCAATTCAATGAGATCGGCCATGGTGTTCCGACCACGTATCGTGACAACACAATCCCTATAAACCCGCGCGGCCACAATAGACTCACCAACCTGAGTAGATACAGAGAACGGCTCATGAAGTTATTTCGGTTCTATCCCAAAATCCATAGCAACTTAAGGAGTGACATAGGACAAAGTGGAACCAGGATCAATAAGAGCATACACATCATGAGATTGGACAGTCAATATACCCGTGACAACATCTAGAAAAGCCTCTAAATCCCGACGCCTCCGCATAGCATAAAATCTGTTGGGCCCTCCCAAGTTTTGGGTACCTGATGACGTCCAAATCCACTACTGAAAAGTAAATGGACACAATCGCATGCAATATAATTTACCCAACTATGAGTCGGGGTCGATTCCCACAGAAAACAATATGTAGACGATTATGAGTGTAAGAGAATTATCGCTTGTTATGCAATGCCAAACACTTAGAATGGTTTTGAGAAAATATTTATAACTAATTGCGAAAATGTAAACTAACCTAGAAAGCAAGTAAAATGATCAATGGCTACAAGTATGGATGCGAAAATGTAAACTAACCTAGAAAGCAAGTAAAATGATCAATGGCTACAAGTAACAATCCAATGTATTTCACGATTTTACAAATATGAGCGAGTTTGTATTAATTAGCTCGGGTAATAGTTCCTTATTAGCTTTTTCCAAAGACTAACAAGACTTCCCAATTGAATTATCCCTGAAATAGTTAAGAGATTAAGCACACCCGAATATGGCCACAAGTAGTTCAATCCTATCCTAGGTCGAATCTATAAAATGAGGGTTAAAACCTCAAGTTCTTGTTAATTAATCTTTCCCAACCCCAAATTATCTTTTCCAAAATTAATTCGAAGTAAATGGGCGAGTCCTAGGGTTAGCTAATCCCTTTGGAAACATTGAAGAATAAGAATAATTAAACAAATAATAACTCATTTCAAATTAAATAAAAATTATTCAATATATAAGCACAACAAGGTATTTAATCCACACTTTAATTATGAATATTCCCATAAACAAGATTTAAGTGTTGGAATAAATACTACACACTTAGATATACAATACAAATCAAGGAAAAAAAGAAATGAGCATAAATGAGTAAGAGATTCTCAACCAAAAAAGCTTCAAATCTTCAAGACCCAAGTGTGTGTGCAAGAACCCTAGCTCCAAAATGTGTGGTCTCTTTTCAGGAGATGTCAGTGATGTTCACAGACTGCCCAAATATGTGTTTCCAGTAAGCTAGGTCATGTATTTGTGGGTTTGGAGCGGAGAAAATGTGAATTGTCAGAAGTGCCCAGCGCTGAAGACTATTGATCGCACCTACGGAATAAATCATCGCAGGTGCGACTTCGCAAAAGCGGACTGTCTTTCGCATATGCTGAACTGTGGGAAATTCCCTTCTCCGCAGATGCGGAACATTGCATCGCAGAAACGACTCCGCAGATGTGGACTCCAAGCGCATCTGCGCGCCCACAGAAGTGACTCCTCAGTCGCAGATGCGATCCCAGCATGAGTTTCTTAGCTCCGCAGATGCGGTCTTTTACACGCATATGCGAGATCGCATAGGTGCACAGTGTTCCATATATGCGGAATCACTAAAGTGATTTGCACTTGTTTTACTCTTTTTTGATCAATTCCACTTCAATTAAATTCAACTATCTTCATGACATCATTTAACTAAAAATCTAGCAATACACACCATAAACAAAACTCATATTATAATTAACAGACACAAAATCTAAAGAAAAGAGACTAAAATAAATGGTAAAATCACCACTCATCAGTACCACCCCTAGCTGCACCACGCCATGCGGGCGCGAGTGCCTCGAGCTGAAGGAGGTGATGTGGATGTAGTCGCTGCAGAATCAGTTGGATGCGCCGTACCTTTGCCCATGGTCCGGTGAGACAAGCGGCAATCCCTCTGAATGTGACCTTTCATACCGCACTCATAGCATAAAGGTAGGTTCATGAAGCAGACCCTAGAGTACATCCTCCCACGCTTAAGGCATGGGGGCCTCCGCTGTTGCTGGAATCTCCCTCTAGATCGACCCTGCTGGTGGGGTCCCCTATTGCCCTGACTAGGCCTGAAACGACTCCACTGCTGCTGACTAGACCCTGATGGTTGTGCACCCATCAAAGATTGGGCGAAAAAGACTGAGATGGCCCTGATGACCCTCCCCTAAATGCTGACCTACCACCACCACCACCGGAAGAATCACCAAAGTTGCCCGCGGACGGGGCCTTGTTGCTACCCTCACGCTCTATTCTATTTCTCAATTTACGGTTCTCTGTAGCTTGAGAAAACACCACCATCTTCCCATAGTTCACATCAGAAATCAATGCAGTAGTCACAGCCTCATTAATAACCAATGGGCTAACACCCTGTACAAACTAGCACACTCTGGCCTCCATAGTGGGCAAAATGTGAATAGCATACTTGGACAGGTGCACGAACTCCATGGGTACTCCCACACACTCATGCTACCCTGCTTCAGGCTCTCAAACTCAGCGGCATGGGCTGCCTTGGTCTCGGTAGGCAAGAAGTGATCCATAAAGGCATCGGTGAACTCACCCCGCCTTGCCGGAGGGCTTCCCTCCTCATGGGACTGACTCAAACCAAGAATAGGCCACCTCTTTTAGGCGGTAGGAGGCCAACTCCACTCCCTCTGTCTCAATAGCATGCATAACTCAGAGAGCCTTGTGCATCTCATTAATGAAATCCTGGGAGTCCTCCTCTGGATTAGTATCCATGAACACTGGAGGATCTAAATGAAGAAACTTGTGCACCCTGGAATTAGAAGATTCCCCTGGCTGACTGGAAGAAGTAGGTGCAACATTCGATCTCTGGGCCTGAGAAGCCACTATCTGTGCCAACATTTGTGTGGTTCCCCTAAGGTCCCCTTCCAAAACACCGGGACCGAAAACTGGGCTGAAGGTGGATCTAGAATATCAGTTGGAGGAATCGTTGCACCCTCATCTCGTGGAGGAACTGGTGCAGCCTGAGCAGGAATAGTAGAATCAGGCGGTGTAGTTATGGGAATATCCTCACCCCTCGGGTACTCACCCGCATCATCAATTATAGAATCAATCGCCACTCCTGGGGTAACATTAGCTCCTTGGCCAGTCCTTGCCTTCCTCCTAGGAGCCATTTACTGAAAGGTAGAGCAATGTATGAGTTAAAAGAGGAACAATCTTACAATCAGCTTTATTGCGCGATCAAGAACATCAAAGAAGGGTATTATTCCTAAATGTCCAAGTAGCCTCCTAATTATAGATGTGGTCGACAACACACCGATAAGAAGGACTCTACTAGACACGGTTCCAAGACATCCTAGGACACTTTAAAACCCTAGGCTCTGATACCAAGCTTGTCATGCCCCAACCTAGGGGAGCGCGACCGACGCTCAACCGAGATAACCTGGCCGAACAAGCCTAATAGATTTCCTTCTACCCATATTTCCCATAAATAAAGATGGATACATTTCATTAATTAGACAATGAGATAGTCATGTGAACCACTCCAGTTCAGTAACATTAGTTGCATCATTTATAAGTTCCCAAAACAATACGTTTCACAACCATAGTTTAATAGAAAAAACATGTAGTACAATTACGACATCTTTAGTTTAACCTTCCCAGGCCAATACAAAACCCACACTATGTCTACGAAGCCTCTAATAGATACAAAAGAGTACAATGATGTCACACCTCCTTTTTACTACACCAGTGAGGGTGTAAAGGAGTTTTTCCAATTAAAGGACAATCGGAACGGGATTTATTATTAATATTCAGAGTCGCCACTTGGGAGATTAATGGTGTCCCAAGTCACCGGTTGAATCCCGATCCGAGGAAATTATGACTCTGTTAACAGTCCGCGAACCAGAAATCCGAGTAAGGAATTCTGTTAACCCGGGAGAAGGTGTTAGGCATTCCCGGGTTCCGTGGTTCTAGCACGGTCGCTCAGCTGTTGTATTTGATTTTATCTGATTTCAAAACATGTCCAAACTCATGTGCTTTTGTTAGTAAACCGCTTTTATTATTTTTTATTTTTAATAAGAATTGCAACGTCGTGAAAATGCATCTCGAACCACATCGCACCAGTGCACCCGTGATTGTTAACACATTTCGACTTCGTTGAGATTTGGATTTGGGTCACATAAATGCGCACCCGAGTTTAGGAAGATAATGTTATTAAAAGACGCGCTCAAAGAGGCTAACGCGTTATTATCTTTGGGGAAAGCCGTGAAATTCGCTAAAACGGCTCATCCCGAAGTCTAAGTATTGTTGTATAAATATTTATCGAGGGCCCCACAATGTTGTTTGTTTTGTTTAGCGAGGCTCATCTCGTTTTATTATTAAAAGGCAAACCTAGAGTAACTACAATTTTCTATCATGTATTGTCTCTAAAAGCAAAGGAAAGGCCCTAATTAATTAATTATTTTGTTACTAAACCATCATTGAAAGTACTACATCTCAATATTAAATCAAAGTGCTTTAATAATCAACACAAGAGCTCCAGCCGACTGGGCTTCAAAACAGCCCAAAGACGGAGAATGGCTTAACCTTGCAAAAGGAGAAGGGCTGACCAACGTTGGGCTTTCAACAGATTCAGGCCCAGGTCTGTCCAAACAGAGGCTGTTACGTTTGGGCTCCTAAATGAGCCCAGATCTTATACTGATGCTATTTGAATCTCAGCCTACTAATTTTTAGACTTACAACAACCTTAATTATTGGCAGGCCCAAGTTCAAAAGAATACAGGGCCTAACGTTTAAGTTTTCAACTTGAAACAA